CTTTTGTGTTCCATTTGCCTGAAAGTTTGTTACCCATCCTCTTACTTTGAGTCTGTGAGTGTCCTTTCTAGTGAGGTGAGTCTCTTGAAGGCAATAGATTGTTGCCTGGTGATATTTTATCCATTTTGCCATTCTATGTCTTTTCAGTGGTGCATTTAGTCCATTCACATTTAGGCTAATAATTGAAATGCAAGAGTTGATGCCTGTCATAAGGTTCTTACAGAGTTGTTGTTCCTGATTGTTGTCTTTCTTTTGGTTTTGGAGTTGGTTCATGTGTGTTTTTAATCTTTTCCCTGTACTCTTGTGAAGAATGTTGTTGTCCTTTTTCCTCTTCTTCTGTGTTCAGTACTTTCTTAAGTGTTTCTTGTAGAGGTGGTCTGGTAGCAGTGTAGGTTCTTAGGGATTGGATATCTGGAAAAGATTTCAATTCTCTCTCACTAATGAAGCTTAGCTTGACTGGGTATGTTATTCTTGGTTGAAATTATTTATCTTTTAGAACTTTGAAGATAGAGCTCCAGGCTCTCCTAGCCTGGAGGGTTTTTGTAGATAAATCTGCTGCTATTCTCATTGGTATTCCCTGGTAGGAAGTCTGGCCTTTTTCTCTTGCTGCCTTTAGGATTTTTTCTTTTATAGCAACGTTGTTTAGGTGAATTATTATGTGTCTTGGAGTTGGTCTTCTCATTTGTTGTCTTGCAGAGGTTCTCTGAATCTCTTGTGCTTGAATTTTTGCATCACTGATGAGATGAGGAAAGTTTTCTTGAATGATTTCATGAAATGTTTGTTCCAGTGTGGCCTCTGACTCTCTCTCTCTCTCTCTCTCTCTCTGCCTCAGGAAGGCCAATTACTCTTAGATTCGGTCTCTTGAAGTAATCATTCATCTCCTGAAGGTTTTGTTCTGACTTTTTAAGCTTCTTTTCTATGTTTTTGACAGTTTGGGTTAGTTCTGTATTTTGGTCTTCAAGTTCTGAGATTCTGTCTTCTGCTTGGCTAATTCTGCTTTCCATGCTAATTAGTTTGTTATTTATTTCCATCACAGTATTCTTTACTACTGTTATTTCTATCATCTGCTCCTTCTTATTTTCCTCTTGTCTCTCTTCAATTTTTTAATTCTCTCTGTTAATGCCTTGATATCTGGGTTTGTTGCTTGTGACCAGTCATTCTGGGGGCTCTTCATTGTTTGTGTTCCAAAGTCTGTTTTCTCAGTGTTTTACCTCCCAGGGGTCTGTGTGAGCCCTGTGTTCTTCTTTGGGTTTTTCTTCATTTGTGCAGATTTTTCCTCCCTACTTTTCCCTTCCCTCCACTTCCCCATCTTCTTTAATTCTGTTATTCAGGGGTGGAGGGGTTTCTTTTACTTCTGTTTGTTCAATCTCCTATCCTTCCTAATGTAGTTCCTCTTGCTTTGTTCAGTTCTGGAGTTGGACTGTGGGTTGAGGGCAGTCCTTTTGTAGTTTTGGGATTTAATTAAGGGAGGAGCTGTGATTCAAAATTTCTCTGCAGATCCTGGCATCCACCAACAGCTGTATGGATAGTCTGAAACCCACTTCCCACTGCCTTGGAGTCTGTCCATGCAGTGGGGTTGTAGGTTTATTCCCTGAAAGCAAAATGAGATTAATAGAGGTAAGAGAATGGAGCAGGCAGTGAGGGGGGTGGAAAGAGAGAGGAGTGAGAGGGAAAACAGTTGAGTGTACCAACTGGTAAGTGAAAAGAGACACAAAGACTGAAACAAATATAAAGAAAAACAATAACCATGACTGAAAAGTAACCAACAACCATATAAAAATCTAAAACATACAATGATGCTAATGTACACACTGACTAACCTCCTTATTGGTATGCTATTCCTTTATTCAAAGATGAGTTTTACAGGGAAATAAGAAAAAAGGAAAAAACAAAAAAAGAAAAAAAAGGGGGGGAGGGATAGATTAAAGTCAGTAGACTAACAGAACCAACCAAGCACACTCTGAGACTTTTCCTTTAAGTCCAATGTCCTTTCAGCTCTGATTTCTAGCTATCTTTGCAGACTGGTAGAATTGTTCACAGTTAGGATCAGTTGCCCCTGGCCTGCTGTGAAGAGCAGTTCAGACTGCGCCCCCTGCTCAGTCTATTACTGAGACCTGGTTTTTTCTATTTATCCAGAGGGATGAGCCTCTGTCATTCCTGTTTTGATGTTGTTACCTTGGTTCCCCAGCAGGTGGTGCTATCTCATGGCTACAGTCCAGATGGGAGTGAGCTAGTTATGGATCTGGGACCTGCTGAGGCAACTTCACGGTGGAAGTTCCACAAGCCTTTATCTGGGCTAGGGGCGTGGTGTGCAGTGGCAGCAGCCGGGCAGCGGCGATCTCAGAAGATCCTGCTTGCGGGGGCTTCACGGTCTGAAGTCGTGGGTGGCTTCAGGCATGAGCTGGGAATGACCACAGCGGCTGCATCCGGGACTGCAGGAGCAGCCCAGACCACCGTGATATCTGAGTAGCAACGGCGGGTGGCGGGTGGCGGGTGACGGTGGCGGCTGAGCTTCCTGTGAAGAGCAGGCTGCGGAAAATGGGAGCTGCAGCCCTTGGGAGAGAGCTAGGGTCTTTATGAGTGTTCTCTTTCGCAGAGGGTCTCACAGACCATGCCGCCCCATCGCCATCTTACCAGAAGTTCCGGGGTTTTTTTAACTTTTACAAAAAACTTTTTTTTAACTTTTAGAAAACCTTAACATTCGGAGAGGTTCAAAACATGAGTCTGATTATAAAGCATTCCAATTTTAACCTATCTTGATGTAGAAGAAAAAGTCAATAATGATGGAAACACAGTGCTTGAGTCATTCACTTAGAGATTCACAGTTCGTGTAACCCAAAAAAGAAAGTCTAGGGTAAAGAGACCTGTTGAATCTACTTCAGTGCAGCAGTTTTTCCACTTACCACACAATGCTTTTTGTTAAAATTATGTTTAACACTCATTAGAATCCAACAAATTAGTGTTTAAAGATCATTCTTTGGAAGTAATTTGATGACATTAGATTTTCACTGACTGAAAGAACAGTTCCTTGCTTAGCATCAAGTTAAAAATAAATCATTCTAACAAGCTTGAAAGTTAATTCATTTTCCATGACTTCATTTTCACAATTTGAACACTCAGTCAAATGTGTTTGTATTTCTGGAAAAAACCTATTGCCAAAGAGAGTTTTTAAAACTCTTCCTCTGATTTTTTTATGCCATGTTAGGTAACATTATAAATACTAAATTTGGGAGTAAGTAAATATATGCCTAATCTGTGTAGTTATTCCCAAGGTTTGTTATTTTGGTTGAGTAAGTAAACTATAGATACAGGGCCATTATTTTATTTTTTAATAAAATATTTATCCGAAAATGGTAATTCTGACACTAAATGCCTGAAGTTTGGCCAAACTTCACAGGTGAAGGGCTCAGTAGTTTACAATGCTGCTCTCACTTCAGACATCAGCAGCAAGTTTTGGGTCCCCAGGGCAACCTTACCTCTGACAAGCTGGCAACAAATTTGTGAGTTCCCACCACAACCTCAGGCTCAATAATTCACTATGGTGACTCACAGAACTCAGAAAAGCACTATACTTGCCACTGCAGTTTTATTACAGCAAAGGATACAAATCAGAAGCAGCCAAAAGAGACAGATAGGTGAGGTCTGAGAGGAGTCCAAAAGGTATAAAGTTTCCAAGTTCTTTCCCCATGGGATCAGAAGGCATCTCCCTATCAGCACATGAATGTATATGTCCAAGGAGAAATCCCACCTGAGCTTTGGTACCCAGTGTTTTTATTGGGACTTTAATACACAGGCATGATTGATTGAATAATTGGCCATGTGACTGAACTCAATCTCCTCTTCCCTGGAGATTGGTCAGGTAGCATGTGCCTCAAAGCTCCAACTATCTAATCACATGGTTGGTCTCTTTAAT